CGATTTGGATATGGGTTTAACATGAAACATGGTCAGAAAAGTAAACTTAGCCTTTAAAAAATGTTTTAAAAATAAAAGAATGAAGCCACCACATCTAAGTACTAGAAAGCTGCAATATATTAACATATCATTCTTTAATTCACACTAGATAGGTATTTGCTTGTTTGATAAATTCACCTCTGTGGGCTTCATTACCTTCTCTCCTACACCAAAGTCCTTGAGAATACAAAGAGAACATAAAGAAGTGTTCAGTAGAAGAGAACGGTGCTCTAACCTTGTATCCCATGACATCTGACTCATTGGCTAATGATCTGACTGCTTCCCAGCCCAAGGACACATGGGAGCCGTTCCGTATCCACTTCACAATGCTCGGAGCCTGACTGGGAGCTAGATGGAAATAAAAAAAATAAGTATTTTACATACAAATGAAATGTAAATACATATTCCAATTCATGGCCAGAGAATTGCTCTCTATCTACTAGCCCTGCCAGCACAGCTGGAAGCTGATAAACCATCGCTTGCTCCAGCGGTGCCATATTAATAGTTACTCTACTTGGCTGAACTTATACTTAGAGTATAAACCGGAATCCTTTTATCTCTGGTGTGTGTCACCAATGCTTAGCCCTGTTTTGTAGGAATAAAATATCAATATGTTCTGAAGACAGCATTTGCAGTCACAATTTTACAGTTCAGTACATGGGCTTCAAGTTAACACTATGATTCATAAAACCGGCTATTTGTGTTGAAGCAACTGATATCATATTGTCTCAGAAAAAAAAGAAACCTGATGGGTAATAAAAAAGGTTTCTGTGCAAATCGGTGCCTAAAACTGGTCTTTCTGTCTAGCTGGCCATGCATTGTGCGTTTTTTTCCCCTCAGCTCCTTGGAAATGAGAAAAAAAAAATACTTGATTCCCCCATCCATGCTAAACAGCCTGGGGATGGGGGAATACCATCTGCTGTGCTATTGTATTTTGTCAGAGTACCCATACAGTGGATGGTCTCACTGTTCGGGCGAGAATTTTTGGACTGGCTCTTTAGACAAAAGGGAACTGAAAAAAATCAACTTTTATGTGTGCCGATAATGTGGAAGTGCCCTAATCCACCATAAATAGCTAAACAAGTTTATAGCGACATGGTTTTCCTGAATCAGATTAACCTTATCCCAAGATCCCCCAGGTGACCAGAAGATCTGTATATTATGAGAACGATGAATGAGTAGAGTGGAATCTGACAATGTCTCCTTCTACCCATAACTCATTCACCACTTGTATCTACTAACTAGAGCATTATCTACTAGTTACTACAGCACCCCAAAAAAAAACCCCACAAGGGATACATTGGTACGGTGTGCGGTGGGATATCTAAATAAATCTCCTATCCAAATTCCCATTTCACCGCCACCCTGCCCTTCCTTCTGGACCCCTTATCTTTCTTTTTCTAGCCTAGCCTCCCGGTCCATATCTTATCCTTTCCTTGTCCTTCTTGCTCCCACCATCCCCTATTTTGTAGCCTGCCCTTTTTTTCTTATGCTATTCACCAACCCATGTTCTGATACAGCATATACTGGAAAAAAAGAGAGCTGTTGGGAAGAGTATGCATGCATCCAATAAGAAATAGTTTTCCAAAGAAATATTTCTGATGGGGAACATTCCCGATGCCGCTGTAACCTGCTGCACAATGTAGATTTGTGATGTATATACGTCTTTACAATGTATCTATGCATGTACCTCTGCACCCAAACTAATTAAAAAATCGACCTTTGTCGAAATGAAGGGTGCCGACAGGGCAACATACTGCTCAAATTCTGGAGGCAGGAATTGCCCAAAATTCAGGCAGCTTATGGTCAGGAAATCGATGGATGAGTTACCTGCCCCATTCCCCAGATGGATTCAGAGTAATGTAAAAATATATAAATCCAGTAAAAAAAGAGTTGGGGCCTGTTCACATCACTGCACTATAAAGTGTACATGCACTTTTCTTAAAAGCGCATAAAGCATTTTTGGGCATTTTTAATGTGTTGTGTTAAAATGTAACGTGATTTTGCCCTCTAACACAGTGATGTGAAGAGCTTCATCGATTATAATAGTAACTAGCTTTCATGTGTTTTCAGACTGTGCTTGATTAGCTTCTTCCCCAGCCATGGAAGGTGGGAGTTTGACAGCTCTGAACCCAGAAGTGCTCAGAGCTTATCGCTTCCAGGTTCACCCTACCCAGGTGAGATCAGAAATCAGATGTTCATTGATCTCCAATCACTTTCATCCTAACACCGACTATGAAGGTACCTGGCACCCAGGAGATGAGCCCGAGACACAGGGTGAGGGGGCAGTAAAGACACCCACATTGCTTTTACAAGAGAGAAAAGGTAAACAAACTCCTGGCTGCCGTAGCAGCCAGATGTCTGTTTACACATTGGGGCTTCCTCCAACATAATCCTGAGGTCTGTGGCAGCAAGAGAGTTCAAGTGTTAATACTAGGAACTTCTGTGCTAAAGTTCCACTGAACTAAGGAATCGAGTACAAAGATCTCAAATCCTTAATCAAGTAGAGATTAAGGTGTTTATTTATTTTCCTTTTGAATAGAGTGGAGAATAATTAGAACCCCTGTTGAGTTTTTAATGCAATCCAGGGCTTTATTTTCCATCACTTATTGTCCTGGTAGCAACATGTGTTACATGTTCCCATTCAGACAGCAAAAGCTAAAAAAACATATTTAAAAAATGCTCCTTGAAGTTTACACTGCTTTTTCTTGGGTTAGGGTTTTAAGGGTTAACTTAGAGGCTGTGAAGGGTGAGGGGTCTTGTGGTTTGTCCATTGTATGTTAATTAAGTGAATGAGAGAAACACAATCTATTTGTGAAAAAGACAAACACAAAAAATCCTAAAGCACTTTTAACCTACTCTTGGCTTGATATAAGATACAATGTCCATTGGAAAAAATATATATATGTATGTAACAATCCCATTGGGATCGTTACATATACATATACTGTATATTTTTATATCAAGTCAAGAGTAGGTTAGAAGTGCTTTAGGATTTTTAGATGTTTGTTTAAATGTAGTTATATTTTTCTCTTTTTATATTTTGGGATTAAATATTGTTTTGATATAAATTAATACGTTATTTAGACTGTTTTACTTTATGGTGGGATCTCCCTATGAGGAGATCAAAAAAAGTTTTTTTTGTTTTACAAACACAATCCTCACATTTTAGTCCTGAGCCTTTCTATTAGGAAAAATCACTGTGAAGGTGCTGAGAAAAACCTGGAATCGGCCATCTTGCCTGCTTTAACAAAACATTTAAAAGGTAAGAAAATATTTTCCAATTTTTTTTCTTTATGCTGTGTAAATAGGATCACATAACAAACATATAGAGGGGTTTTCTAAAATTTTACTGTAAAAGTGGAAATACACTTTACGTTCCCTCGGCTGGGGAGATTCACCCTCTCTGTTTGTCCCAAAGACCATTGTCAATGAGACAGAAAGTTCTGGGAAATCCAAAATGTTACAGCTGTCATCAGAACTGGAAAACAAAAGGAAATCTTCTGACGAGAAGATTCGTTCTGGTGATGAAATTCCGCTCATTTTGAAACAGTTCCTCCCTCTTTCTGTTCTGCCTTAGGACAGGAAGTGAAGGGAAATTTCCCCAACGGGACACAGGCAGCATAAAATTAACTTTTAGGAGTTTTAACTCTTCACTGCTCTATCCAAAGCAATAAAGAGAAGCTTTAACTATAAGTACTTTAACAGAAGAAGCAATGGCAGCCCCATATTACTCTTTGGTAAGGTTGACGTTAAATTATATCCAGTCAGGCAGTCCTTGTGAACACAATTATATACTATATGTATATGATTGAAGCCAGGTACTATCAGTACACAGAGAAACAGACATAGAGAGTGATGGAATGGAAACAACAGGGCACTTACGAGATTTCTTGGTGCTTCCACGTACGGCCGCGCTAGGAGGTCCATAACCGGCTTTGTTGAACGCTCTAACAGTGATGTGATATAATGTATTTCCTTCCAGCTCTGGCAGGATGATAGAAGACTCATTTCCAGCTGTTTTCACTTTTTCTGCAGCTTCTTCCTGCTCCATATCATTCCAGTAACTAACCTGCCAACATTGACCACACACAAGATTAATTTTGGCAGCCGTGAAGTTTTCACTTTATTTCTTTATTGGCTGTTTGAAGGCTTCCGGCCTCCCCGCGGTGAGAGGCTCCTGTCAAAAAACTGAATGGGTTATTTCAAACATCAGGGATTTTTCGGATGAGTTTAACGCCTGAGTGTTATCAGCCAACCTGCCCAGCTGTCTGGGGTCAGGATGTCGTTGACTTATTCAAAGTTTCACTGATATTCTGAGCATCAGGCATAGCGTTACATGGCTTGACCGCTTAAACAAAACATTGGAACAAACAATTACAAAGGCTCAAAGGAATATAGAAGAAAGTTGTTGATGACCTCAAGATTTTAATACAAACTTGTCATGCAACACAGGTCTAGTTGGATTCATATGGTTTATAGTGAGATGGGCTGAGACGAACCAAACTGTAACTTCATTTTTCTGACCTACTATTAATGTATTAACATGGACATATCACTAAGCTCTATGTAAACCCTAACAATAGACTGCTCTTATTTGCTTCCCTTTGGTCTGATAAAGACTAATTCCACCTTTTGGACCACTTTAAAGTTACATCCATATTAACGGTGTAAAACATTTTCCCATCTTCAAACCACTTACCTGAATTTCTGGATTTTTTGAGTGAAAAGACCCTGCAGTTGGACTTATAGATCTCAACAGAGCACATATAGTCAATTGGTAACTTCCTCCAACCCCATAACCAAAGGGCTGGCTGACTAGTTTGCCGGAGCATGTCCATTGCACCCATGATCTACTGATTGCAGTTTTCTGACTCCAACACATCCAATAATTATGCTTTTCTGACTCCAATACAAACAATAATTAAAAAATGTAAAAAAATATTATTCAATGTGGGTGCATTAATAATTTTTTATTCCCAAAAAGTGGAAATAGCCTTTAAATATTTTATTGAAAACAATTTGTTTTATCTGTTCGCTAAGCAGAAAAAAAAAGATCCTGCCAGAAATCCAGTGTGCTGGTAACTTCCTGTGCAATCTTCTTTTCTTGCTATCCGATAATATTGTTCCCAATTCTCTTTGAATTAAAGAACACCTCCCCCAGTGGCGGAACTACCGCCATAGCGACCCATGCGGGCGCTATGGGGCCCGCAACAGAGGGGGGCCCGGTCAGGAGCAGAGCTCACAATCGTCCCGGCCGGGCCCCTACCAGGGGCGGACTGAGCATACGGGCATTGCCTGAGGGCCAAAGATGGGGCCCGCCAGCGACCCCCGAGCCCTTTTCAGCCCGCATGGAAGGGGATGCGGGTTTGTTAAAACGGCGACGGCAGTGTCGCCTGCCTCCCGGCCGGGCCCACCGTTCTCTGCTGTTGCCGCTTTAACAGAGCGGGATCTCCTACAGTGCTGCGGCCGAAAAGAGCTCTGATGTGGGGGTGTGTCAGGGCGGATGGAGGGACGTAGGCACGAGAGCCTCATGCTGGGGGGGCCCCACTGAGATCCGGCTCAGGCCCCCCCCTGGAGGAGTTCTACTGGAACCTGGTGATCGGGAGCCCTGATGCTAGTAAGTGAATTTAATGACTTTTTTTCTTTAAGCTGTAAATAGGAAGATTTTTAACCTTTTAGTCTCTATTTACATACAGCGTTTGCGTTTCCGTGCGGTTTTTCATGTGCGAACCCGCACGGGACGCAAATGCTATATGTGAACTGCACGGATTCCGCTCGTTTGCGACCATTATATAGCTGCAAACGTGCGGAATCTGATGGATTATTGCGCTTGCAGTATTTTGGGGGTTGCGTGGGTTAAAGCTCCATTCACACTGGTTTTTTTTGGTGGGGGGTATGTTGTAGGTGGGGGGGGGGCTACTTTGTGGGAGGCCCTTACAAAATTTTGCTATGGGGCCCTGTGATATGTAGTTACGCCCCTGCCTCCCCCCTATGTTTGTTAGAAGAGGTCTTCTATAGTCTTACTCTTAATACATTCACAACACTGATCATCTACGGATACAGTGCAGAGAGTGAACATTGTCACCCTAAGACAGGAAGTTTGTTAGTGGCCGGGTGACCAGATAAAAAAAACTGAGAAAGGAAAATTAATGCAGCCATCACATATGAGGACTGGTAAGGTACAATATACTGTATATTACATTTTTGTTGTTGTGCTTTGTGGCAGTGTAAGCCCATGCCACAGTGTAGTATGGCGACTTTGGCACCCAGGACTCTCAGCCAAAGGGGCTGAGAGGGTCCAGAATGTAAACACTGTTTTAAGGAAGAGCCTGGCTTTTCAGGTCTTTCAAGGTTTTCCTAAATGTAGCTGGGATCTGGAGCTCTGGAGATCTCTTAGAGCTCTGGGTGGAATGAGATCTCCAGTCCTGGGGCCAGGTGTTACCAATGACCAGCTTGGGCTGATCAAGTGGCTAAGAGCAGCCTTATTAGAAGCCAGCCCAGTGCCCAGAGGGAGAGAGTGGGAGTTGAGTGTGCATGCGTGCAGGAGGCACATGGACTCAGGTGCGTGCTGGACGCACGAGGAACAGCCGGTGGAGGCTGGGAGAGGTCAGGATGGACGGTGACCCTAGGACCTGTGGTACACACTGCTGAGAGAGCAGATTGAGGGCTCACGAGGGGTGAGCAGTGAGAGTTTCCTGGAGCTGTGGAAAGCTACAGAGCGAAGCTAAAAGACTGTACTGTATGTTGCTGCTAGAAACTATCTTGAGTAACAGAGGAGGTCTACCTTGCAGATGAAATTAGATATTTGCTGTTTGCCCTTAATAAAACTGCATTTTACTTGCACCTCCTGTCTACAGTGGAGTGTCCTTGTTACAGCTTAGATACACGTTAAAATACACACAGGATTAAATAAGATACAAGCATAATCAAATGATTAATATGATGAGTAGGTACCTGTTCCCTGCCATAAGTACAATGTTTCTGAGCTTCTGTATCTGACCAAAAGCTTGAAAGTAAATTGTCATGAAGTAAATGTGGAGGCTGCCATTGTTTCTCTAGCTGTCTGACAGTTATGCTGACAGTCTTGCAATTACCAGTATAAGAAGAACCTCAGCAACAACAGCCTATAAGTGTATTTCATGGCAGGCTTTCTTTAATTTTTTTAGAGCCAACAAAGGAAACTGATCACCCTGCCTGCCAGTGGTATATCCAAGGCATGGCACATATGGCACATGCCCTGGGTGCCATTTGTAGGGAGGGTCACTACTCCGAAGGTCAGCGAAAGTTTGCCGACCCATAGAGACAGCTGACTTTTTTTGCTCTGGCAGGTGTACCACTGAGCTACTGGCAACCAGTGATGTCACTGGTTGCCAAGAGATGGGAGGAACACTATAGAGCATTTTATAGTAGACACAAATCCACTGCCTTTAGAGGATTTACACCTAAAGTGTATATGAAACCAAAACCTTTTATGTTTCTTTTGGATAGAGTGGGGAAGGACTAGAACCCTTGCCTGTTTTTGCGGCTATGCAGAGCTCCTATAGAGAGATTTCTCCTAACATCCTGTCAACGGTTTCACCAGACAGGAAAGGAGGGTAAAAGTTTATCAGGGATTCAGACAGCAACACAAAGCTACCAGGGGTTCCAGCCTGCCCTTTTTCTACTTTTATTTTGTCTGTGTTGCTGTTGGAAAGGTCCCTTCAGTTCCTGTCTATCGAAACAGTTGTCAGCCAGACAGAAAGTTAAGGGAAATATCTGGCTAGCAGTAAATTTGGGGATGGGGGGTTGTTTGGGCTAAACATTCACTTTATTGTTAGCCAAGTTTTTTCTATACTAATTTCTTCATAATATTTTCTCTTAGTGTGAAGTGTACATATTTTTTTTATTTTCCATTTAAACCACATTGCAATTAAAAGTACAAATAGTTTCCAATGCATTTTATTTGAATACCTTTTTTTTTGCCCATAAAGATCAAATTTAATTATAATGATTTGATTATAGCACACACTACAACCCATTGAACATGTTCTAGTCTGTGCAATGTAGAATTCCAAATCTGCAAGGTAACACTTCAGTGCTACTATGTTACCATTATATTGCATTGCCTTCCCACTTTTACTGCACTTTTCTTCTATTGTAACAGGGCCACTTCCTCTCTTAAAAACTTGTACATTTAACTACCATAAAAAACAAAATCTGCCCGTTATCAGCTTCCTGTAATATCCTGGCAGCATACAAGAGAAGAAGAGGAAATGCCCTCAGCCAATCAGGTTCCATTGCACTGCAAAGTGCTTCAATTTCCAATCCAGAAGGTGCACATACGAGGATGTAGCAAATTACCACATTGTTGTATGCTCTTCACTGGCAATTAGCGGGCCGGGGTAGATCCTGAATGGTATGCTGATCTTTATTGACAATTAGCAGCCTGGGGTAGACTGGTGACCAAGCTGAACTGCACAAATGCAGTGAAGAAAAGTAAGGTCAACAAGATAGTTGGGCTCCGTTGGGTTGTCTGCGCGTATTCAGCACTTTAATGTGCACTGTTCAGACGGCCTGCAAAATAGTTCAAGTGTGATTTTTTTTTACGGATTCCCCATGTCCGCAACTATAGTAATAGCCGCAAAAGAGCGGAATCCGTGCAGATGAAAGATTTTAGTGTTTGTATGCCACGCAGTCTTCTGCATGGAAAACCACGTGGGAAACGCAAATGCTATATGTGAATGGAGCCTTGTACTGCCTGGCAGGGATGCCTTGGTCCCAGGACTTGCCAACCAGAATAACAAATCTTTTGGCAGCTTAGACAGTTCACATACAGCTGTTTGTTAAGCTTTAACTAGTCCTCCTGACACAATGATCTGCAAGGTGCAGCTTCATAACAAGCCCTTCACCCTTCTCACTATCCAAATAGAGAAAGAGCGACGTCAATGTGATGGATAAAATCTGACAGAACACCTAAGGATAAATTGTAGCGGGTTGATGTTTTACTGAAAGCATAAGCAAAGCAGCCATGGAAGGAGACGATTCTCTTTCAGCTATTCAGACTAGGACAGGTGTCTGTCACATTCAGTT